ACCACATTTATCTGTAAAAATATGTATGTACTTATTTAAATGCGAGTATATTTTTTTAAATAATTAATTATTCCGATTTAGTGCATTTAATATCAGTATTAAATATGAAAATATTGTTTGATAAATTGGTTCAACCAGGTACGTTACTGCACATTAAGCAAAACAAAAAACAAAAAAAAAAAAAGATGAAAGTGTAGACAAATGGGTCATAGGTGAACACCCTGGAATTTTTAAAAATTCTGTTCGCGTTGTTGCTTAGTTCACTAACGACGCGATCCTAATAAGAGAAGTGGTAATAATGCTATTCTGACAAATACAACAATATTAAACGAATCGTTTGTTTTCTTATTTTTATAATTATATTTTATTACGTAAACATCACTGTTAAATTAATTCGTTTGAAATGAGCTAATGTTAAGGAAACAATAAATAATTAAGTCCATTAATATTGTTAATAATTATCCTTCATTGAATTTATTATTTACTAAATCAAAAGATGAAGGACTATACAAAAGATTTCGTATATAGTCTATTATCTTCATCATGGATACTTTCTCTCGAGCCTATTCACCTAAACAGGTTCTATTTTTTCAGTTGTTTATTTACTTTTTCCAATATAAACAGATACAAAAGTTTGATGATTTAAAAGAAAATAACTCATTTGTGATAAAACAGAGGAGTTATGAACATAGTTTCCTACATTATATTAATGTTTTATTCATATAATTGACTAATTTACGTAATTGATACAGAGAAATAGTTACGAATAAATGAATTTTTAAATAAGTTGAAAAAGTATTAAAATTGAATATCTTGTGATCGATATAGGACCCGGAAATGTAATGTAAAAAATGTATAGAATGTGATTATTAATTAAATTAATTATTCCAAGGAAGTTTATATAAAAATGGAGGAAATTAACGAAGTGATATTTTCGAAGTTCTTTGTTTCGGTCTGGGTTAGTTTGTTTATCTGCATTTAAGAAGTATTTTTGCTTGATATATTCAAATCATATCTAGAGGCCCTAAGTGATAAAAATTTCGGGAAACCTAAAAAAAAAAAAAAATAAAAAATAAAAAGTTTCAACTTGAAGAAATCTTAAATTTAACATTTTGTTTTAGTTCTTGTTTGATGTCGTTCCTAAAATTTTGAACTTAAAATTATCTTTAAAACACAGGGCTCTTTGAACTTTGCTATTCTAGTTAATCCGCAACTTATTATATCCTCAAATTTTATTTATAATTATTTTTGAGTATATAAATTAAACGAGTACACCTATAAAATATATCATTGAATAAAGCCACAGTTTTGTATAAAAAGTAACATTTATGAGGAGCTGATCAATAACGTCCCGAAACCTCACCAAAATACAGTCCGATATTTATTGCCTATACCTAAAGGAGCTCCCTAAGAAACAAATAAATAAAACAAAATATTCGAATAAAACCACTGTACATATTTATAAATAGTTTATTATTTACAAATAGATAACCCTAACAATAAACGAAAATTGAAAAACAAATCGCTGCAAATTATTACACAATGGTTTATTATTTCCAAACAATTATATATCAAAAGTAACATTACCTTCATAGTGACGAAGAAAAAAGGTGATTTCTAATATCGCCCTAAATAATATTTTATTTCATAAGTAATTTTGTAAAAAAAAAAAAAAAAAAACACATTGGGACAGTTGATATAACACTTTCAGGATATTAAAAACCAAAACAAAAGAAATAAGCTTTGCAGTAGACTATATGAAAAATATTTAAAAAAACATATCTTTGCACCATATAGTCCGATTTCAAAGTATTTTTTTTTATATTTTAGGAAAGTTCTTAAACTTCGAAATGACTATATATAACATCAACAAAGTTATTCGGAAATCTAATTTTACGACCACTCGTAACATTTTTTTCAGCTTCTTTTCATTGAAGTGTGTTAAGTAGATAAACTTTAAGGGTTTCGAAAGAGAAGACTTTAAGTTTTATTGAAATCGGTACTTCCATTTAGGCGCTACAGTCTATATGACACATGTCTTTCGGTCTCCATCTTGAAAGAAGAGTACTTTTTGGTGAAGAGTGTTCTATACATATATTTGAAGGGCATCGAAAATATAAAAAAAACAAAAACAAAAGACTTTAGCCAAGTTTCATTGAAATCGGCATATTCGTTTAGGCGCTACAGTCTATACCTACACAGTTTGTTCAGCCTCCATTTTGAAAGGAAAGGGCGGATAGTAATGTCGAGGTAGGAGGATCATTCTCCGGTGACCTCTGACTTTAAATTCAAATTTGAAAAAAATCAGTTCAGTAGTTTCGGATAAAATGCGCGGACGGACAAAAAATTTGTATGCGGTTTTTGAATTCTACGTATCCTGAAACCTAAAACCTCGAACTTTGAGAGAGAACGATGAAGTTTTTGGATGATTACAATGGTTCATTATATAAAATAATAAACCTAAAAAATAAGTGTAATGTATATACACTACCTTATACGAATTTTTATATTAATTTTTTTTTTCTCTAAAATTCTCAGATTCCCAGCGATATATTATACGTATGCCTTCCGACTAGTATTTCCGGAGATTCATTTTCAATCTAAAAAGCATTTTTCCTTTTTATCCTTTAGTCAATTAATAAATTCTTTCATAGTTTATATTATTCCTCTTTTTTCTTTGTTATTGGTAACAATGAAAGGCAGTAAAATGAACCAAATAAAAGATAGTTTAGAGGAACAAATTTGGAACATGTTACATCATTACATAAAATCGTTACATTCGTTTTAAATAAAATTGTAAAAAAGGAATCAACAAATTAAAATGTTTATGTTAAGTAAATAATATATATATACGAGTTATTTTTTATATGTATTTTAAGAATCGATTTAAATGTAATTAGTTTTGCAGTTTTAATCAGAGATAAAAACTGTTATAGTAACCGTAGATAAACCCATAAAGAAATAGGTAATAAAATATTCTCTTACAACCATAATATAATTTAATTATCTATAAAAGCTATGAAATAGATTTTATGACCATTAAACTACCTTCAGGAAGAGATGAAGTAGTATTTCCAAAACTAGTGTATTTCCAAAACTCAAAGTTTCACTTCAGGTATAGAATTTATCTGTTGTAGAGTACATATGAAGAAGAAGCACAAAGTCTAACCAACAGGAACCTTTGGATTTTAAAAGTTTCTGGATGAAAACTGGTTCTGTAATTGCAGTGACTAGATACAATCACTTGCTGGATAATTACGGTTTGTACGCAACACATGAGGTGTGTAAAGGACATAGTGGCAAGTGAAAGTGATCGTAGACTTAAGTGAGGTATAAAAGTGTTATTTATGAAAAAGAAAATATTCCAGAGTTCAGGGTTCTAAGTTCGAAGGTTATTGTATGAAACAAAATAAAATTTGAATACAACTTTTTTTAAAGACGTAAAAAGGCTTTTTTTCGAACCCGTCGTACTTAATGCTTAATCACTCGATTCCATTCGTCCGGTACTCTTTAAGCGAGCAGTCCTGATGAAGGCCTGAATCTTAAGCCGAAACGTCGGTGTGTAGAAAACAAAATTAAATCTAGTTTATTTATTTTCACTTTTCAATGATTGACTAAAATCTCCAATCAACTTCCTACAATTAAATTACAGCAAATCATTTTTGTTACCTTTAAGTAAAAAGCAAATTTCATAGATAGGTTCAAATATAACTAAATCCAACTAACATTTAATAAATTAAATAATGATAAAAATTAATCTCAAGTAAATACTCAAATCCGAAACATTGAAAAATCAATTTCTCCTTTATAATGCAATGTGCTGATTTACTTATTATCTTATGATAAAACATTATCCGTTGTGATCTCATTAAAAATATATAATATTTATTACTGAAATGATCGTACTAATAATAAATAATAAATTTAAAATCAAAGATAAACTATAAATTATTAAAATAATATTTCTTCATAAGTATTATATTTTCTATTCAACATATTACAAGAAATCATCACTTTGTACAAGGAGCATTGGCTCAACATTTCATAGTATATACATAATCTAACTTCATCATTTAACTACTACGGTGAGCAGTTTCTGCTAAATATACAAGCTTTGACGGTTGACAGTAAGGGATGGCGGCCACTGCTGTGGGCAGTATAAACTAAACAGTATCTTATCCGTGTCTTGATGTCCTCATCAGAATATTCAAAACCTAACTGGTCCCATCTCTATTCACCAGACTTACCATTGTCCAGTTTTAAAGCCTAGTGAAATGTTTTGATCGGCTTTATTTATTTTTTTGTAAAAAAAACAAATAACAAAAACTGACTATACGATTCATTGAATTGTCCAGGGTTACAAACCTCTGTTATCAAATTATTAACAAACAAATTATTTATGAAAATTTTCAGAAATGTGACGTTTTCAATCTGGAGATCGGCAAACTTTTTCTATTTAATTAGGTACCAAATAAACTTATTAACATTCAGCTTTCACTTGAATGGTAAAATAATTTGGTCAAAAAATCGAGAAAAAAAAACGTAGCTTACAAAAATATTGTGCCATTTGGTGTGACGCTCTCCCCAACATGGCAAATAATAAAGAGATTATATAGGACAAAAGGTTCAGTATTTTAAAAAAAATATTTTGTGATCAAATTATATTGCTATTCAAGTAGAAAACAAATGGATATTCATGAGTTTTTAATATGCCATTATATAAAATAGTTTGATGACAAAACACCCCATTTTCAAAATTTTTGTATATAAAATCAATAGGTTGCGATAAGTTGAAGCCATTCGCGATGTTTTAGATGGATATTAATAATTTGATAAATAGGTAACTCTATCGCGGACTAAAACTCCTGTGAAATTCTTAATCCAACAATACCCAATTCATGGTATTTGAACTTGACAGGAGCTTATATTTGGTACATAACCGACTTCAAAGCTTGGTGAAATAATATATAAGTAGAGATTGTAGCCCCAAAGATACTCACATGATGACGACCGAAGACAACGATGGACTGTCGGAGACTGAACTGTGGAGCCGAGAGGAGGGAGGGGGTGCCGAACAGCCCCGCTCTGCTGTCCCGGGGTGGAGGGGTTCGAGCCTTTCACAACAGTTAGTTATTGCCTATTTATCCTCTATCAACTTTGGATATATCTTATGGGCCTTATGCCGGCGTCCATTGACCAATTCATTTTGCTTTTGCTGAGTTTCGAGCCAGTCAAGGCCGATTTTGTAATCAAATATTGAGCAAAATCAGCCTAATAAAGTATTCAGCAATAGGAATAAAATTTCAAAAATTTTGCATAAATCTGTTTGACCCATGTGAATAGTTCTCATAGTGTATTGGCCAGCGAACAAATAATATAGAAATGAGTTAATGACATGTTTTTATGAGATGATGGAATTATTTTTTTGTTTTTCGGTCAAACTACAATAAATGGAATTATATTGTATCTTTTTTTTTTTTTTTTTTTTTTGTTCATCCCTACCTCGCCTTTTAGGCCATACGGGATTTTCGCGGGCTGGGGGGTGAGGGCGGGGAATTTAAAATCCCCTCCGGCACCGGGACGCGAACTCGTACTTTTTATATCATCTCAAATCTCTGTTATCCGGTTGCCAGGCAACTAGCGGTGCTGTGCACTCGCTTTAGCTTATTCGGCCACCCCGCCCCCCTAAAAATTATATTGTATCTAATACCTATTATGTCTTGGCGGTGGATGCAATTTAGCATGCAATAATCCGCCCTGCTGTTTCTCTTGAAATTCTTCGGGATGTCCTACTGACAACTCCACGTTGCTACCTCAGAGTTTGGTAGGTTTAGGATGGAGGGGGGCGGATACCCCGAAGTTACTATCCCCTATAACTCACCATGGGGTCATCATAGAGACTCAAATTTGGTCTTAAATTGTTTATATTTTAATGCTGAGATATTTTTGCATTACATATTTTTTTATATTTAAGTTATTCTATTTTTTTACTGTACACAATTTCTTATTAATGTTTAGTTGTTATTTTGCTTTTGTTTATTTTATGTTTTCTGTACATAAAGTGTGAATGTGTTTATACTCCACCATAATTATTGTCCGTGTGACAGATTGTTATATTAATGAATAAATAAAAAAAACACATTTTCTGATATAAATTACTCTTGAGGTCTGCTATCACTCCTATAGAAATTTCCCTCTACTCACAGAACATCCTGTATAGAGTAGATGGTTGAATCTAGGGGCGGGGTGGCCGAGCGGGCTAAGGCGTGTGTCCACAGCACCTCGCGTTACCTGGCAATCAGGATGTGATAAAAGTAATACCGAGTTCGCGTCCCAGTGACAGGGGGGCTTTTAACTCTGACATTAATTCCTCCTCCTCACCCCTGGTCCAGAGAACTCCCGTATTGCCTAAAAGGCGAGGACGGAGAGGATATAAAATAAATGTTGTGAATAGTTGAATGAGGCGATTTGTGAGATAATTCGTAATTCTTGCTAGTGCTATGGTTACTATGGAATATTTAAAGCAATTTAATGTTTGGAAAAAATAAATAATTGCTATTTATGATAATGTTCAATGAAATGAAAACCTATTGAAAAGGTAATTGAAGGAGAATAAATTGCTTTATTTTTTTCAATAATGTACCTTTGTAATCGAGCATGATATATATTTTTCTACTCCAAACTTTTGATGATGGTTTATTGAAAAAAATTATATGGAAATTCATAATAAACTGAAAACTCATAGGACTATAAAAATCAAGAGTTTAAAATTATTTTTTTGAATTGTTAATTAAAAAAAATGCTAAGTAATTAATTTTATATCCCATAAGTTAAGATACTAATTAGCTATTTGAGATATGGTCTATGGGTCCTACCTGATAGTAGCTGTATTGTTTTTGTCAGTAAGTTGTTAGTTAAGACAATCGCTGAGATAAAGACTTCGAAACAAGGCATCCATCATTGTGTTGAAGAGCCATTTTTTTCTTTTTAACCATTTAATACATTCCAAGCAGGTGGCTGGCCCCTAAAAGTCACTCGCTGGCTAAAACTAATCAAGGCTATTCCTTTATTAACTTATAAGTAAATTATTTATTTTACCGGATTTATCCAATGCCATTAAAATAAATATTAAAAATACAATGTAATACTGCGTATTTTGTTTTTTATCCCTAACCCTACTAGGGAGGGTTATTCTACATGTAACAAGCTTAGAAAATATTCTAACTAGAGTAGGAAGATCCAGATTAATTCGATAAGACCACAACGAAATAAATTTTTACCAGTCCAGACCGGATTCGAACCAATCCCACTAGACTCGGCGTATGACGCCCTAACACTTTCGTCCACCACGGCTTCAATACGTCTTAAGTATGATCAATGAAGTTTCTTTTGTGATGAAGTCGATTTTTTTACCCCTTCCATATCATTTCAATTTTATTAGTGTAATATTCTTTATAACTATTTCTTAACCTATTTCTTTCACAAAATACTGACAATCACACAATCAGCTAAAATTAATCTAAAAGATGGCTAACAGATGTCTTTGTCAAGATATGTGATATCTAAAAGATACAACGAAAGACATCTAAAAGACGACTTGAAGCCCTCTTTAAGCCATTCCAAAAAAATATGCCCAAAAAAAAAATCTGGTTTGAGAACATCCAAATATAACTTTATCGAAAAGCCATCTAAAAGCTATCTGCAATATGTAAGAAAGATATCGTTTTGATATTCTTAAAGATCATCTGAAACACATCATTTTGATATCGTCGAAAAAATGTTTAAAAAATCTTTGTTTTGCAAAGAAAAATAAATAGAAACGTCTGTATAAAATTTAACGCCTTAACGAAATAAAATTCATTTATTTAAAGGCATAATCATGAATTACACTTAGAATGAGACTTAGAATAATAAGTAATATACTAATTTATTTTCTTCAACGTACCTTTCGGATATCGATCGCCTTTTTGTAACCACGGTTTATCAACTTCCATTATGCCTTCCTTCATTTGTCGCTTTGTCGAAATCTTTGGAAACAATATCTAAAGTCACCGTACAGCCAAAAAGACCCACATAAGTTTCATTCAAACATTTCAATCGAAAACTTACAGGACTATAACCAACGCTCCTTGGTACGTTAGCAATATAACTTTACATAAAGACTTACAGATGCCTACACAAAAACTCACACAGACCTAGAAACTCCATGATTCATGGCATGGCCTGAACCAACATGCCCGATAACACTCGTAGAAGGTTCAAAAGAAGTTGGATTAGGGATTTCCACTATTAACTGTAAATATATAAATCATGATAGGAAGGAGCGCCGCGAGACACTCCTCTCTCTCACGCATACCAATCTCTTAGTCCATATTCTACTCCCCGACAGCACATTTACAGGTTGGTATTTCTGACAGGTGTAAGTTGAAAAATAAAGTTTAAAAACATATACAATCTTCTTAAAATGAATGTTTAGCACACTAAACAGTTAAAGGTTGAATTGAATTTTGGAAAAATGGTCGAAAGGTACTTGGTTCTTGGCATTGAGTTTTTTTTTTTTTTGTAAATGAAATTATTGTGTTGGAACATGTGGGTCATTTTAGGAGTTAGTTAGATCTTTACGCAACGAGATGCAGGTATTTCGTAACGAAATTTCTCCAGTGAAATTATGCACCTTTAATGGGCATAAGGAACTAAAAGTTATTTTAGTTTAAAAAAAAATCGTTATATTTAGGGACCATTACTCACCAATGCTTGGTTATTCATATCTCAAAATCTATCTATTTTGCTTAAGAGTGACTGTAATTTAAAACAAAACATTTAAACTGAAGCAATTGGGAGTTCAAGCATACAGTGCTATGTTTGAATAAAAAATATTTATTATTATTATATTTTAACATTCGCAAAGGGTAAGTGATAAGTATAAATCCGAAAATTTTGAAACGATTTCTATACTTCTATGCCAAAGAAATATATCATAATTTTTTTAAATGAATGTCCTTAAAATTTTTATTCACTATTAAAATTTTAGTGAAATTCTGCTTCAACTACTGAAATAGTATGAACATTCCATCTCTCCCCCCTTACCACAAAAACTTATGTATTTACATCCCTGACTCCAATTAACTTCTTTCAACCGTCTTCTGAATACTTCAGGCTCAATATTTTACTTTAATATCCATGTTATGCGGAGTCATGTTTTATTTTTTTAAATTGTCTGGGATTTATATCACAATTTTTTTTTAAGCATAAATATAGTCTTCTCTATATATTCGTGTTTCAGAGATGAATTCTGCTTCTTTTCCTGACAGCGTCTTATTATTTCAGGAGGAGAGAATCTTGTGTTCTTTAACCTTGCAGCAAAGCGGTCTGAAGGGGCCAAAAAATCCTATTTTCAAAATGTATTAGTTCAAATTGTCTATGTTTTTAATGTGAGAAAAAATTAATTCATATATTTCAAAAGTTTAGACACGAGTAAAAATAATGGTTTTCAATATTTTCAATAAAGTACAAAAAATAAGCTTGTTTCTACCACATTAATGTTGAAACTTGTCATGTATCATTAAATATATTTTAGGTGTTTTTGAGTCCTAAAAAAAAATATTATGTTCATAGTAGATTAGGATTTTTGTTTACCAATAGCAGTCTCTATAATTTTTTTAAACTACTTTATTCCCAGAAAAAATTCGGTGACCTTCACCATATTCATCTCTTTATCACTTATTTGTCTATTTAAAAGCATAAAAGATTGAAATAGTGTTAGTTCTTCTTCGTCTCATATTTTATTTTTCAGAAAAGAGGGCTCCTCATTGTACGACACCATCTTACTGAATCTTGAACAATTACTATAAAAAGATTATAGAGACTATCATTGGTATACAAAAATCCTGATCTACTATGAACTGTCTAAAATTAACTAATAATATTATTATGTGAAGATTGTTGAAATAAGTTATCGCTTAATAAATTCTAAAATTTTGTTTTTTCATAGGATAAGTTATTGCTCAACCAATATTGAAATTTCGTATTTTCAATTATATGTACGCTATATTG